CTGTATACACTGACTGTGTAGTGGCATCAGCTGGAAAGAACAAATACAGTCCTTTAATACCAAAGGAGCAACATCATTCAGTGAAATGGTTTGCTGCCACACAACACTGGGCAAATAAAGGCAAATAAAAAGGAAGTAGCCAACTTCCCTGCAAATGCTGACACAGTCTTCCAAAGTGGAGCTGTGCACATTCACCCATTCATACCAGTAGGGATATTTGTTTAAAAAGAGCTACATATTCAAAAGCAGACAGGATTTATCAAAGCAAACAAGAAAATAAAAAAGGTACCGACCTGTAATTATGGGGAAAAAACAATTCTTTCTGGTATGTCGTTTTTTAAATGATGTTCAGTACTAAAATATGCAATTTAAAAAAAAGAAAGGCATAAAAATGTGAAGAAATAAGCACAGTGGGAAAGGAAAAGTTAGTGATTTCATTGATACTCATATTTCATAAGCAGGCCAGCAATATAATCATGTCCTGTTCCTCCTTTTGCTTTCAGACCTACACTGATTTATCTTGTGCTCTATTCCACTACATTTATTTAACACTTCCAAAAATCTATTTAAATTCTTCAGGTTTAATCTGTCATTAAACTTGAGTTTCCCCAATTTAAGTAGTCTGGAATAGCTACTGGTAGTGTTGCACAACATTTTAAACCACAAGTTTATAAAGCTCTTTGGAAGACTAAAACAAAGGACTGAGCCCCAGGTCCATAAAAGTCTGAGGTGCAGTTTGGGTGATTTAAGTCAAATAAAAAAAAACTAAAAATATTTCCTAACCATTTGAATGACTGAAAGTTGTAAGCGCTTTGCCTCATAAGGTGCTTAAAAGTGCCTGGTTGAGACTGTTCCAGCCAGGCTGTTGAACAAGCTTTTCCTTGCAATAATAGCCTACAGGTCAGCAAACTAGCCTGGGAAGTGGGTAGAGTTCAGTAAATCTGTGTCTGTGTACAAGGTAACTGAAGCCTACAGTCCTCATATCCCAGGAGCTTAGACTTTGTCAGGACTGGGATGTAGGAGAGAACTTGCTAGTCCTCTTGTATAAAGTTTAGATGGTTTAGAAAACAGATCAAATAATAAGCTAATGAGAGCCAAAGAAAGCTTGAGCTTAACCCAGGTAGTGACATTTTCCTGGCAACTGGGTGTCCCAAGCTCCAAGGGATTGATCTGGAGAGCAGCAAATTAGAATTGTCTTAGGTCAAGGGTTTTCCCTTTGTTCTGGCAAGTCCAGCCACTCAGTTCTTAATGCAAGAACTGACCCATCGCCAGTGGTGCCAGAAACAGGAGGGGGCACTGGAGTACAGAAAGAAGCTTTGGGCTCCAACTTGTACCTTGCTTAGACACCTCACACAGAGGTTCTATTTAAATTCACCAGGTGGAATTTCACCCCAGTCTTTCTCATTGATCACTTGGAATACCTCCCCCTCATCCTCCCATTCCACATCCACAAAGTAATTGCCTGGCTCAGCTCTCCACCTAGCTTCACTGCAGCCAAGGCTCTTTGTGGACCTTGGTCCAAATCTCACAAATTTCTCAGCAAGCATCACAAAGTAACGGGGAGCATTACCCTTCAGAAAGGTAAAATCACTGAACAGAAACTGGCAAAGTACGCTGCAGATGAAATGGTGTGGGCTTCTTTGTTCTTAATACTGTAGTTTTGTATGTCTGTTGGTCATCATGGTCACAAGTTTTTTCTTTTCCAGGTGGTCTTCACTGCTAATGATTCTGGTCACCGCCACTATACCATTGCCGCTCTCCTCAGTCCTTACTCCTATTCAACCACTGCTGTTGTCACTGATCCCAAGGAATAAACATGTACTGTCCTTATACAAAAACTCTCCTCCACTAGAACTATCATAGGCTTTTAGGAGGAAGGGTTTTCCTAATGCTAATGCATAATGTTTTGCTACATTAGATTGTTTGGTTTGTTTTTTTTTTTCATTTTGTAACCTGGCAAACTTCAGACAAGTCAATAAAATATTACTTCTTTAAACAGTCTTAACTCTATTGGTGAAGCTTTATTGTGTTCTAAGGTATCATCTTTGTTGTTTTTTTTTTTTTTTTTTGCGTTGAAGTGCAAAGGACATCTGAAAAATACATGCCAGAAGGCACTTAATTTAGTTCTGTTACCTTCCTCCAACACCTTAAAAAAGTCTAACCAAATGCACTGACTCAAAATAAGAAACTTATGGAGCTGTGCTACCTTAAAAAATTTACCAAATACACAAAATAAGAAAGTCATCCATGCTACTCCTAGTTTACCCATGGAAGAGATGGTCCCATTCTCAACTAGGTCACAGGATAAAAAGGGGAAATTCTGAATCCCGAGCAGCAGAACAACAATGCAGACAGTGTATGTCCAGAGAACTGAAAGAGTTAAATCTGTATACCTTTATTTAAAACTTCAGGTAAACCTCAACACTGATTTTTCAAGAGGAAAGTTTGCAGCTCAATAATCTAGGAAGTGCTGAAATGATTTCAAGAAGCACTGTTTCTAACAACTTCGCCATTAAAGTGATTATTTGATATAATCCAGCTGGCTACCCTACTCCAGTGCATTCCAATTAAGTCTCTAATAAGTCAAATTTCTAGTCATCATTAAAAAGAAGCCCTAAAAGAGAAGCATCATTTTAATATTCTCTTCATATTTTCAGAAATAGGAAAAAAATAAGCTGTAGAGTGACTGTGATTCAAATAATGTTGCTGACAAACTGACCAAAGACTTTGAGGGCTTTAGCAGTGATTTCCATAGACTCGTGGTCTATTATATTCAAAATATCCTAAAGCAGAGGAACTGTGTTTTAACTGTGTTACACAAATTACAGAGAAAGATACTGAAATCACAATCACCACTCATTTGCCACTGACCTTGGAGTTTATCTCTACACCCAGAGCCTGCTGGGATGTTGGCATACCAAGTGAATGTAAAAGTTACAAAAGCTTGCCTTTAATATTTCATTATTTGGTTGCTTTTCCCCTGGATTTCTGGACACTACCATAATTACACAACACTTGTAAACAGTGCAAAGTTTCAAAACAGCACCCATCTTGAAGCATGGAGATTTCACGGGATCCTGATGTTCCTGGAGCTTGAAAACCAGGAGGCTGGATTTGCAGTGGGCTATGCCAAGCCCTTAAAACAGGACCTAAATAAGCTCATATAGATGTAGTCATCAAAAAACGAAACAAAACAAAACAAATACTATGTGTAGTCATCCATCTGATGACAAGATAAACCTAGTAAGAGTGTACGTATATGTTTCTAACCAAAGATCAAAGAAAGACAAAGTTTAATTTCAAGAAGTAACATTTCCCTAAAACGAAGCAGATACTTCTGCTAGGAGCTGACATGCAGTTGTACAGGGAAAGTCCTGAACTTGCAGTGACCTAAGGGACAAGTAAAGTGATAGGACTTAAAACAGTTTAACTGTGGTTCAGAAATGGTTGTGTAGGTATCCGGTTATAATGCTGGAAACCAACTTATTTTTCCTCCATGGGGGATGCATAAGATAACTACATAGCCCAGACATTATCCACTTACCTTTTATTAGAGGTGGGAAGAAGGCCACCACAGAAAGAAATCTCTTAATAGGTAAACATGTGAAATTCAGTTAAGCTAAACCATAAACCCAGAAAATTTCTCACTGGAACAGAGGGTAATAGTGAATGGGGTAATATCAGGTTGGCAACCTGTCACTATTGGGGTTCCGCAGGGCTCCATCTCAGGCCCTGTTCTCTTCAGCCTCTTCATAAATTACTCGGACACAGGACTGGAAGGCATATTAAGCAAGTTTGCAGATGACACAAAACTGGGAGGAGCTGTTGCCTCCCTCGAAGGCAGGGAGACCTTGACGAATTAGAGGACTCGGCAATCACCAAACATATGACATTCAACATGGGAAAAGTGATGGGTCCTGCACCTGCAATGGGGCAACCCCACATGTACATACAGACTGGGGCATGAGATGCTGGAAAGCAGTGCCACAGAAAGGGACTGGAGGTCCTGGTTGACAGCAAGTTGAACGTGAGTCAGCAGTGCCCTGGCAGCCAGGAGGGCCAACCGTGTCCTTGGGGGGGCATCAGGCAAAGCATCACCAGGCAGTCGACGGAGGTGGTTGTCCTGCTCTGCTCTGCACTGGTGAGACCTCACCTTGAACATTGTGTACAGTTTTGGACACCACAATGTAAGAAAGATATTACAGAGCATCCAAAGAAGGGCAACAAAGATGGTGAAGGGCCTTGAGGTGAAGCCATTTGAGGAGCGACTCTTCAGCCTGGAGGAGACTGAGGGGAGACATCATCGCACTTTACAACTTTCTCGTGAGGGGAAGGGGAGGGGCAGACACTGATCTCTTCCCTGTGGTGACCAGTGAAAGGGCCCAGGGCAATGGCCTGAAGTTGTGTCATGGTAGGTTTAGGTTGGATATTTGAAGAAGGCTCTTCACCAAGAGGGTGGTTGGGTATAGGAACACGCTAACCAGGGAAGAGGTCACAGCACCAAGCCTGCCAGAGTACAATAAGTGTCTGGATGATACTCTCAGGCACATGGTGTGACTCTTGGGGATCGTCCTGTGCAGGCCTAAGGTTTGGACCTGATGATTGTTGTTGGTCCCATCCAACTCACTATATTCTGTGATTCTGTGAAATTGCTAAGTTGTCACAAAATTTGTATTTCCCTCAACTATATGAGATCAATACAGCAGTACTCCTCAATTAAAAAAGAGAAAAATATAACAGAATAGACATAGTTTCCAAAAACATTGATCACTGTAGTTGAACTAGGCAATATTCACAGTATTTCCTCAAGCAAAGATAGAACACTTACGTTTGCAGACAAGGTTCATGTTTGTATGGGTTACTTATTTTCTCATTGTTTACTAAGCAAACAATATGAATCTCCATGTTACAAGTCATATGGGTTTTCTGATAACTTCATTTTAGAGACCTTGATATAAAAATCACAGATCCCACCAGTTTCTGCCTCTTGGCCCTGAGACTTTGTAGTGGTAGGCAAAATGGCTTTTTCTTCTGTATTTCTTGTTTTCTTAGCTGGCCTGATATTTTGCTCTGAAGCTTCATCATCGGTAAGTGTCTCAGGATTTAAGTCCTTCTACTGATGTAGACCCAGCCTTTTCATTTTATTTTAATTAGTTTGGGAAAAAAATTAGAATATTCTATTTTATTGCAATTATTTTGATGTCATAGTATTTACTGACTGTGGTTCTCTGCTGCTGCTCTCTTCTGGTTCTCCTTTCTCCTTCTCTAGTGATTAGTGAGAGGACTTCATGCTTACAGAAGTAGCACTTGTCATTAGACATAGCAACTACACAAAACCCAATGAAAAACAAAAAAGAGAAAAACTATCATATTCACTACAAAACAAACCTTGAGCCTGTTGAAAAGAATCTGATAGCTTTCATAATATAGTGAGCAAGCTGTGTCATGAGAGATTTCATTTCCAGTTGTGAGACTGTTGCTGGAGAAAGGCCTTCTCTTGACTTCTGCCTTACTGCTCTACCCAGTACGGCTCAGCCTCATGTAAGCAAGAAGGGATCTCAATATTCACTGAGGCAAGGAAAGAACAGAGCCAAAGTCAGGATCTTCTTCCAGAGGGCTCATTTATTCCAGCAAAGTAAGCTAGCAACACCGATGCCTCAGCTTGAAATTCTCCAGCAGTCTTATCTCTCTCTCATCAACTACTCGTATTTCCTCTCAGGCTCTGATCATTGGGAAAATTAATACCTGACCAACCTTGCTGAGGAATTAAGACTTTAATTGAGCTCCCAGGCTGTAAAAGCCAGGAAAACCATTGGCAACAGTGCAGCCCTCCTTGCCAAAGTCTCACAAGAAACACTAAGTGAGTCCCTGCATTCCAGAAAGGGAGTGTGAGGAGTCTAGGCATACAGGCACTATAGATACAGGCTGATACATTGGTGGGATACAGGGCAGGGTTCCTGGCTGATGGGAACGGGATGTTCAGTACATTCCAGACTGTAAAAGGGGGTGAAAGAGAGGGCTCCTAGTTTTTAACAGTCTACATCACGATTCATTTTGCAATGATTACATGGATATCAGTGACTGCTATTTTGAGACCATCCCTGACTAGCACCTTCTACAAAGCTTTTTCTCACTTTTCATCTGCAGAACCAGGTAATGAAAGGTCAAAGCCCTGATTCAACTCTGCCTTTGAATAGGTAAAACATCAGGGCACCATCACTATTTGTGATGAACATGTTAGGAGTGAAACATGCCATCCTCTCCTATCCCTGTGTAGCTGCTGAGGCTAACAAATCTGATTCAACATGCTGTTAGGGGAGAGCCTGTATGTGGTGCTTATCAAGTTTGCAGCAGAATTAAGAAAATGGCAACAAGATATCAGAGATCTTTCAACTCCAGAAAGCTGTGCTCAAATTGCCACTGCAAATACAGAGGCAAAGTTGGCAGATTTTTGAACATTCCTACTACCTTTGACGGTTTAATTATTTCCTGTTGAGGCCACAGTTCAGTTACAGTTTCATGCTAGAGATGATGTGCAGCTAAGCCAAAAAGAAAATAGAAATGTACCTCACAGCCGTGGTGCCTCCCTGGTGTACATGGCTACTCACCCAACAGCTCCTGACATCTTCCTCCCTGGCTCCACCATATCCAGCCCCCAGATTCAGGTTACATTTCTGCAGTACACAGTGATCTTGCTGTGAAAAATATGGTCTCTACTGTAAATCTGAAGAGTAATACTCCTTACTGCTTTACAATGCACCATTGCATACCCTTCTTGCAACATAAAAACTCTCTCTTCCTATTGAAGGACTCTCCCGACGCCAAGCATCCTCTTTACATAAGAGTTCTGGATTCACTCCGAGGAACTCCAGCTTCAAATATTCCAGTTAAGTTATATAAAGAAGCCGCAGATGGATCTTGGGAACTGTTAAATTCAAAGTAAGTCATACTAAAATAATGAGTGAAAGACAGGAAAGGCAATGGGAAGAGGCAAAATAGTTGAAAGACCAGTTCCACATATTC